ATACATTTATTCAAATACAGTTGTGTCATTTTCTGGTTGCTGCACAATGATGGAGGGTGGGGTAGGGCTTATATTACAAGCATCCTGAAAAATCATACTAGGGCTTATTTTCAGGGAAACAGTTTTATGTGTGGTCAAGTCACAGATAACTTATGGGAACCCCTAACAGGATTTCCAAGGTACAGTGGTGCCTCGACCTATGACCATTTTGAGTTACGATCAGCTCCGGCCGCAAAATTTTGCTTCGATTTGCGACCGGAGCTTTGAGTTACGATCAGAAAAAAGGTGGGGGGAAAGGCGGGGAATTTAAATTGCTAACCGTTGGTCGGCGAAGGGGCTACTTCTTTGTAACTCTTTCACCCCAATGGTTAGAGAGTGTGAGTTTTCAGAGAGGCTTCGGACTGCCTGGTGCTGCTTTCTGCTTCTGAGTGAGTACATACAGGGTTTTCCAGCATGGGTTTATATATATACAGCTGTCAAACCTACAGTTCAATGCATTCCAATGGGGGAGAAAAAAATTCACCAAAAATCAACGAAGACTCAGAACAAAGCCAAATTAAGTTTGCACAGGTTTTGCAAGGTGCACTAACAATCCCAAGCACTTAAAACCATTTTTGAACATTTTAAGACACACTTAAAATTGCAAAAATGGACATCGTTAAGCAAAACAGGGGGACCTAAACTGTCATCGCTAAGCGAGGCAAGGTCCCGAACATCGCTATGCAAAATTTCCCCATAGGAAATATTGCTAAACGGAGTGCAAAATCGCTCAAAAAATCCCATGGCTAAGCGAATACATCGTTAGAGGCAATCGCTAAGCAAGGCACCACTGTATTCGCATATGCTGATACCTGTGCACTAGAGGATTGTGGGAGGAACACCTAACTCCTGATGGGGGTCCCACAGGGCACCCCAAAACACTGAGGAGCTCTCTTGGCCTCTGGCAGGCCTGGGGCTGTGCAGCCCTGTACTAAGTGGGAGGGGCAGCCAGGGGGTCACCATGCCTTGGGGGGGTCAGGGGCCAAAATGGGGTAGGAAGTACAAGGGCTGTTCCAACTCATACCTTGCAGGGAAAATGCCATGTCATAAAAGTGGTTTTCCCAGGGTAAAGCTCATCCATTGCACTTTGGGTGTGCTTATCTCAATGATTTCCCCAATTGTGGGGAATTTAATTGCATAGTTTGTATTAATGGGGGATTGTGTTTGTGATTTTCCTGGTGGTCTTACAATCTCTTCACCCTTTGGTTTTTGGCTGCTTTTACCATCCTCTGTTTTGGTTTTTGGCTGCTTTTACCATCCTCTATCATTTAAATTTGTGGTCATAGCCCCATTGGTAATGCTTTGTAAGATGTTCCCCCCCCCCAATTGGAACACATTAATTACATAACACCTGCTTTTTTTATCACCCCCCCATTGGAACACATTAATTACATAACAGCTGCTTTTTTATCCCAAAAAGTGAGGGAGAGAGTATATGCTGTTGGTTTTCTAGGAGGCAGACCTTGGAAAGCCAGCAGCATACGCTTTCTCCCATACTTTTTTGGGATAAAAAATTAGGTCCTATGTAAGTAATGTGTTTCAATGGGGGAGAAAACTGTCTTGTGAAACAGGGTCCCCCCCAAAAAAAACTGTCTTACAAGGCAAGGACCCAAACATCATTCAGCAAAAATTGCCCATAGGAACAATCTTGCCCATAAGAACAATCGTTTTGTGAATCGCAACATTGCTCAAAAAAAGTCATCTTCTAGCGAATTTGTCACTTTGCGAGGTAATCGTCTACTGAGGCACCACTGTAAAGTCAACATATATGTCTGCAAACTTAGTCTACACATCAATACCCACATCCTGGAATTATCACTGAAACACCCACAACATACTTCAGATTTGTTTGCTTGGCTTTTGAGGTTCCATAACTGTGAAGGCTACTTTGGACATGCTTTTACATTCAGCATGACTATTTTTCCTCCAAATCAAAATAAAAAGAAAGTGGAGAAGTACACAGAGAAAGAAATTAGGACCTACACTGTAGATGAAATGGACATTAATCTTTTCCCTTTCTGCCATGACCCTCATCCATACACATAGAGGTTCTTGCATTAAGAGGAAAACTCCCACTCTTAAAAATGGGAACCTTCTTACTTCAAATGACTAATTTAAGAATGAACTTGGTTCCTGTCTAGACTGCAACAGGGAGGGAAGGAAGGAGTTAAAGCCATCATCCATGCTTCTGATTCAGGCTGCCCTCCCTCTAACCCCCTAATGTTGCTTTAAAAAAAAAGAAAAAGAAAAAAGACACATTAAATGTTTAAATGCTTGTAAACATGTCACTGAATATCTACAGAGCCAAATGTAGTGATTAGACTGAAGTAATAAGACGGTGCATGAATTTGACCCAACTCCGGGAGGCAGTGGAAGACAGGACGGCGTGCTCCAGCCCATGGGGTCATGAAGAGTCGGACACAACTTAAGGACTAAACAACAACAACAAAATTAAGATGGTGACATGTGATATCCAAGTTCAAGTCCCCACTAAACCAGGAACTCCTCTGGGCGATCTTGCAACAGTTATTCTTTCTCAGCTATCCAGGTATCTCACTAGCTGTTAGGAGGATCAAGTGGGGAGGAAGAACTCCACATACGCCACTTTAAACTGATAGGATAAATAGAATAAAAATGTTAACTAATAAATAAGCTAATTAGATGGTTTGGGTACCCCAGTGTAACTAAAGGTGAGCAAAGAGGAGGCTCTTCACAGACAGGAACATCAGCATGGGTGCATCTAGACAAGTTTTCTCAGTCTGACTTGGCATCAGTTCTCCAGGGATCTAGGCAGAGTTGCCACCTAGGCCCAAGAGGATGTCCTTTGTGGTTTCCCATCCAATTCCTAACCAGGTCATGACCTTGAAGAGCTTCCAAAATCAGTCAGGATTGTACTCCCTCAGGGGGCTATCGAGGTACTGCATGAATGGTCCTACTGGGGCTACACATACAAGCGGTGGCCATAAAGATCTATTTGCATTTTAAAACATTTTGGCCAAAGCAACAGCAGTGGCAAGGGAGAATTTAATCTCTTCCACTGTTGCTGTTTTCATGATCTAAACAGCCCTCTAAAAACGCTATTTTCCCACCGGGAGTAAGGCACAAGTAGCTCGGTGTTTCCCACAGCACAGCCAAAAACAGTTTCAAGTGGGAGTAGAGCCCTTTCTAAACTTTTTTTTAAGTTTCATGTACACGCATGCGTGTGTGCACACACAAAAAAGGTTCTGGAGGAAAACACATACAGTACAAGCAATATTTGTACAATTTCTTCATCAGACAAACAAAAGCTTTGTAGGCAGATTTAAACTGGGTGAATGGCAAAAAGGTAACACATTATCTCCATCCACCACCAGCACTGCAGTCCCATTATGATGGGCATCAGATCTATGCATTTGTTTTCACTCTTCCTAAATCCATAGTCACTCCTGTTGTCTGATGTGTAGATCTGGTCAGATCCACCCTGGATCCAGAGTGACTGTGGATTCAGGAAGGATTAAAACAGATGTATACCTGGTTGCAGAAATCCCATACCGTATCTGTTTTAGCCTTCAGACAAATACTTCTGGAAAGTCCCGAAACAAGACATGAGGGCTCCCAGCATTGGAGGCAAATGTTGTCTGAATACAGAAAAAGGGCATGGAATCTGTGGCCCTCCAAGTGTTGTTAACTCCAATTTCCATCAGCTTTGACTAACTTGAGTAGTGGTAAAGGTACAGTAAGTAGTTCATCGACATCTGGATGCCAATGAATTGCAGTGTGGAGAGACTTGATGCTGGTGATTCCCTTTAGCTGATAGGATAGGTGATAGGTGAGCATAGGTGGAACAGACAGGTGGAGCTTTGACCTGGTGAACCCCAAGAAAGGTGTGGTAGGAGCAATTTAATTAGTGGAACTTACTGCAACCTCCTCCAGCCATTTTTCAAAGCCATCTCTTATTAATTCTAAGTCTAGCCAATGCAAAATCCCTTTCATGCAGCTGTGCAGCAAACAGATCACTACATTTGGGCTTTTAAAATTATTGTTTCCCCCCCACTGTTTCGACCATTGAAAATATAGTTCACACATAAACAAATCCAGAAATTACTCCCCTTCTCTTCACCTTGGGGAACCCTCATATTTTTTTGACCACTCCAAAAATAAAACTTGTGCGGAGGGGGGGGGGGAAGGAATGATGCTGAAACAGACCATGACATTTCTGCCATGGACAATACAGTTCAATCAGAAATGCAACTACTGTAATAATTTCAGATAAGAAAACTATATCTAGAAAAACAGTAACACTACATTGCTTTCAAATAATCTCCTGTTGACCTCTTTTTTTTAAAAGGATGCCTTTTTCACAGAACACAGTCATTTTAAAGAGAAAAATAGACTTGACCCAGCCCACTGATTTTTACAGAAAAGATGCTCTACGAGTGGGTTTCCCCCACCATCGCTGTAACTATGGCTCGTGTGAACTTAGAAGTCAAATATCCTTGCTCGTAGTCGACTAGGTGCGTTTCCAAGATATTTTTGTCTCCCAAGGTGCTCCCCACTCTTTCCCAACCACACACACACGGATAGCCCTGCAGACTGAAAGAAAGATTTTCCCCCCCCCCAGTCGCAAGACCTGTAACAATGCTACGCACACACACACGCAGCGGCTATCAAACGCATTCCGGGGGCTAAAGGGTTAACTACTTCCCGCACGTAAGAAGAGCGATTGCTCGTATTGTGTAGAAATTCAGCAGGTTCCTCATTTCAGCAGGTATCGCAGAATATGCATGATTCCTATCCTTTTATATATGTATTAAATTTTATTTTATTTTTTTGCTTTAAAAGGAGAAAAAGGTGGCCTTTGGAAACTAGCTCGCCGTGCCTTTTCCTTGCTCCGCCGCTGAAGCATCATCTCCTGGCACACTGCGATCCATAATGGAGTAATAAGAAGAGGAGGGGGAGAGAGATTCAAAAGAGGCACTTACTCTGGCAAAGCAGCAGGGCTGGCGAAGGAATGGTGATGGATGCCGAAGCAGAAGCAAGAAAACATCGGAGGCAGATCAGAAAGGCTGGCCGTCTCCTCCCGGAATCCCTTTCACCCGTTGCAAGGGCAACGCACAGAGACACATGGCATGGCCGGGAGGTTGTGGCGTGGGAAAGGGGGGGGGCGGTCGGTAGCGGCGAGGCGAGATAACGCTGTCGTGTGTGTATATGTGTGCGTGCTACCTCCTGGTACACAAGACCGTATCCTGCCCTCTTCTGCACATGCTCACAATCACAAGGACAAACCGCCCCCCCTCAACTCAACTCCACCCCGGATTTGAGCCGCGCAGGTCTCCCTCAAAACCACAACGCCCATCAGGCATTGCTGCGGTCTTGAACGAACGTGTGGAAACCGCGGCAGGTGGTAGCACCCAGGTCGCCGCCACGCGCGCCCTCGGGCGGGAAGGGAGTCGGTGGTTTAGCGCCGGCTCCTTCCCCTCCCTATTAATTCGAGGCTTTGGCGTGAGCCTTTGGGGGGAGGGGAGGGCGCTTTGCCCTCCCTGCTAAATGCCACCATCAAAATAATAATAATGGAGACGGGCTGGGACTAGATATTCCGGTGCCGATGAGTCATCTCCGGAGATTCCCTTCGCAGGTTCTGCTTTTAGCGCCGGGCGTCCCGAGAGAAAGAGGAGCCCGCGTCGCTGGAAAAAATTATAGAGGGAAACGAGGGAGGAAAAAGCAAGCCTTCGTGGTTCGGCGGCGGGGCTTCGCCCCCTCCCACCACCACCACCACGCCGGCCCCACCGCCGAAGAAGGGCATGGGGAGGAGGAAGAGGGCCGTTGGTGACGCAGTGGGTCTTTGGCAAGGCGGTTGCGGCGGGGAGGGGGGTGAAGTCTGTGAGGGAACTTAGGCGGTGGTCGCTGGTGAGGCCAGAATTCGTTTGGAAGGGGAGTTAATTGGTGTAATAATTACCGTAATAATCATGTGCGGCCACGCCAGTTCTGATTTAGGGCTCCCCTTTAGTCCCTGAGGAAAACCATTGGCCAAGTCCCTGCTGGCGTTCCCAGCCCTGAGGCCAGAGGAAGCCCGCGTGTCCGGTGGTGGAAAGGGATGGCTACTGAGTCTTAATGGTGTGTGTGTGTGTGTTGTACTTTATAGGCATGTGAACGTGTCAAGGCAGGTGTGATCGTTGTCGATGGAGGGGGGCTGACAGGTAACGCCAGACGCAAAAATT